TTCCATTGATCTTCAGCTCTGTTTTTATTCCAGTACCATGTTGATTTTACTACGGTTGCTTTGTAGTATAACTTCAAGTCAGGGATTGTGATGCCTCCTGCCTTGCCTTTGCTGCTTAGAATTGGCTTTGCTATTCTAGGTCTCTTCTGGTTCCAGATGAATTTTAGGAGTGATTTCTCTAGATCTATAAGGTATGTTGATGGTATTTTTATTGGGATTGCATTGAATCTGTATAACAGTTTTGGGAGAATGGCCATTTTCACAATGTTTGTTCTTCCTATCCATGAGCAAGGGATGACTTTCCATTTTCTGAGATCATCTTCAATTTCTTTTTTCAGTGTATTAGTATTATAATTTTCCCTGTATAGGTCTTTCACTTCTTTCATAAGAGTAATTCCTAAATATTTCATTTTTTTGCTTACTAGTATAAAGAGTGTGGTTTCTATTTCCCTCTCTGTAATTTTGTTGTTAGTGTATAGGAATGCTATTGATTTCTGAGTATTGATTTTGTATCCAGCTACATTACTGAGTTTATTTATTATAGCTAAGAGTCTTTCAATGGAGTTTAGGGGGTCTTCTATGTAGAGTATCTTGTCATCTGTAAACAATAATAATTTAACTTCTTCTTTTCCTATCTTTACCCCTTTTATTTCTCTCTCTTGTCTAATTGCTCTGGCTAGTATTTCCAGTACTATATTAAATAGGAGTGGTGATAAAGAACATCCTTGTCTTGTGCCTGATTTTAACGTAAAGGCTTTCAATTTTTGGCCATTTAGTATGATGTTGGTTTGTCATAAATGGCCTTTATAATATTGAGGTAAAGACCATCTATTCCAATTTTCTGTAAAGTTCTTATCATGAATGAATGTTGGACCTTAGAAGGCTTTTTCTGCATCTTTGGAAATGATCATGTGATTCTTACTTTTGGCTTTATTGATATAGTGGATTACATTTATTGATTTACGTATGTTGAACCATCCCTGCATTCCTGGGATGAATCCCACTTGGTCATGGTGTATAATCTTCTTGATGATTTGGTGCATCCTATTTGCCAATATTTTATTGAGGATTTTTGCATCTGTGTTCATTAGGGAGATTGGTCTGTAGTTCTCTTTTTTAGTTGGGTCTTTCTCAGGTTTTGTTACTAGAGTAATATTTGCTTCCAGGAATGACTTAGGAAGGATTGCTTCCCTTTCAATTTCATTGAATAGTTTGAGGATTGTCGGCATATAGGTCTTCTTTATATTTCTTATAGAATTGTACAGTAAATCCATCTGGACCTGGGCTCTTATTTGTAGGTAAGGACTTCATTAATTTTCAATTTCATTAATAGATATTGGGTTATTCAGCAGTTTTACATCCTCTTGACCTAGCTTTGGTACTTCATATGTTTCTAGGAATCTGACTATTTCTTCTGTGTTATCAAACCTTTGAGAGTAGAGGTTTTCGAAATAGGTGTTGATGATCTTCTGTATTTCTGTAGAGTCTGTAGTGATTTCACCTTTTTCATTTCTTATTGCATGAATTTGATCTTTTTCTTTTTTTAAATAAGGTTGGCTAGGGGCTTATCGATTTTACTTATTCTTTCAAAGAACCAACTCTGATTCGTTGATTCTTTGGATTGTTTTCTTAGTCTCTATTGCATTGATTTCTGCAAGGATTTCTTTTTTTAAAAAAAACGAGCTAAGTGGGGCTGGGGATTTAGCTCAGTGGCATAAGCGCCTGCCTTGCAAGCAGGCAGTCGTTAGTTTGAGCCCTGGTACCAATAAAAAATGAAAAATGAAAAAGACCAAAAAAAGAGCTAAGTAAAGAACAAATCTGATAGTACAGGATAGTAGAAATCACTCAGTGGTTTTGTGTAAGTATGGCCATTGGAACTGAAGAGAACTATCCATTTTCATCACTTTATCTCTAATTAATATTTCAAGAAAGATGCATCCAATTTGTACAATTTAACAGGTGAAGTCTGGACACCATTGCAAGAGTTGATTTATCTTCTAATCATTAATACAATAACGACAACATGCAGTATTACTACTAGAAATAGAAATGGAGGCAAGCAGACCAACTATAAATAACCTCTACAAACTACAAGTTTTGCCCATCATTTTCAAGGTTAATCTGAGATATAACCATTTTAAATATTAGAATAATCTAAACACTAATGATAAACAGGATAAAGGGATTCAGAATGGAGACAAAACATTAAGGATTTACCTTTTAAAATATAGTGTTGACTTTTGAGACATGGAAATGGTTTACAAACTCAAAACTAATAAAAACAAGGAAATTTTCCCTTACACACAAAACAAACAAACACACACTTTTTCTGTATTTTTTTCACTTCATATAACTCAGCACTCACTTCATCTCAGTTCGTAAGTTCCATGTTCTTTTTTTTAAAGTGTACAATTAACTGGGGTTTAAAATAGTCACAAGTTGTAGGGAGGGCTGGTGGAAGACATCTTGAGTCCTGGCAGAGCCTGATTACTTGCTGGCTTCAGCTCCACACAGAGAACTTAGTGGGAGCCATCTTGGTTTTGGGCAGATCTGCTTTTCTGGTGCTCCTATCACAGAGAGGTTTGGAAGAGAAAGGCTGGGACCTGGGCAGAATCCTGTGCCATTACTCAGCTGCTTCTGATTCAAAGAGAACTGGCAGGAGCTACTGGGGCTAAACCAAGCCTCTGCTTGGGGCCCAATAAGCAGATACAAAATAGTCACAACTCAGTGACAACCAGAAAGTACAGCCTAATTTATGAACTAACTGACACAGAGGCTAGAGACTAGACTGTACTGCCCCTACATCCCAGCCTACCCCAGATAACAGCAAATTGGGGAGGACAGCAAAAACTCAAGCCAGCACGCTTCTGAAAGGCCCTAAGCAATTCGGAGAGGGCCAGAGAACTCCAGGACAGTCTAAAAGAAACCAGAAACATGACAAGAGATAAAAATTTAAAAAAATCTCCAGCTGTTCAACAGGAGAAATTAAACCCAAGAGAACTAAACACTGAAGAGAACAAGCACAGTAACCATCCTCTACTCGACACAGCATCAGCCGAAATTAAAAAGTACTTACATGATCTCATAGAGGAATTTAAAGATGTACTCCTGATCCAAGTGAGGCAAGATATAAAGAGATTAATTAAAGAAATGACAAGCCCCGCCCAAGAGAACACAGATGGAAGAACTGAGGAAATCAGAAAAGAAAGAGAAGCATCTGAAGAAGAATTTAAGCATAACTTAGAATACATGAAACAGATCCAAAGAGAATATCAGGAAACTAAGAACTCCATTGAATATTGGCAAAATGCCTTGACAGAAACTAAAGACAACCTTCTGAAACTTGAAGAGAGATTTAGGGCTTATGAACGTGAAAGAAAAAGCCTCTTAAAAATAACAAGGAACCAGAAAGAAGCAATTCTAAAACTGGAAGATGATAAAAAGATACATAACCTAAGAATAAAGAATGTGAGTGAGGAAGCAGGAACATCCAAAAATGAAATACAAAAAATATTCACACAGATATTAAAGCAAAATTTCCCATGTATAGCAAAAAGAAATGATATCCAGATAAAAGAAGCATACAGAACGCCAGCTACCTACAACCAAAACAGATCTACGCCTAGGCATATAATAATCGAGATCCCAGAAATCCACCAAAAAAACAGAATATTAAAAGCAGCCAGAGAAAGGATGCAGGTTACCTATAACGGGAAATCTATCAAAATAACAGCAGATTTATCAACACAAACTCTTAAGTCAAGAAGGGAGTGGGGAGAAATATTCCAAGTCCTGAAGGAAAAAAATATGCAACCTAAGTTCATATATCCGTCAAAACTCTCTCTAAAAACAATCTATTGTCTCTATAAATTTGTTTATTTTCAACATTTCATGTGAATGGAATCATACAAAACATAGGTTTTCTTTTCTTTTTTGTTGTTGTCTTTTTTTTTTTTTTTTTTTTGGTGTCAAGCTTCTTATAATGATTTCAAGATTCACCCAAATTGTATCAGTTCCTCATTCCTTTTTTATTTTTGTTTATTTATTTTTGGATACCAGGGATTCAACTCATGACCTTGCGCTTGCAGGCACTTCATTCCCTTTTAATGCTCAGTAACATTCTATCATATGATTATGCTACATTATGCCCATACAGGCATTTGATGGACATTTGCTTCTATTTTTAGTTAGCATAAATAAATCTGCTATGAACATTTTTGTACAAGTTTTTCTGTTTCTTTTGATCAGAGCTATGGATTATCCCATTGGCTGTTTGTTTAATGAATCCTCTCCCAAAGAACACTTATTTCCACTCTTTTGCTATTACAAATAATGCTATAATAAATAATTTTGTGTTTATGTTTTAATTGTGGCGATGCATCTTTAGGATCAATTCCTAGAAATGGGATTAGGTTTATAGAAAGGGTTTATATTTTGCAAAGATAAGCCTTTTGTCTGTGATAGAAGCTGCAAATACATTGTTCCAGTTTATCACTTAGCTTTGTTTACAGTGTATTTGCCATTTAAAAGCTATTATTATATATAATTCAAATGTATTGTTGGTCTTTCACTGTGTATGGATTTTAAAGTAGTTTCAAGTGTCCCTCAGTTTCAGGTTGTAAGGAAATTTACCCAAGATTTTATCTGGTGTTTCATCCTTTACACTTAAAGAGTTCTAATCAACTTTTTCGGTATGTAAAGTACAAAGCCATGTTTATTTCTTCCCAAATGAATATGCATATAACCAACCGTATTTCAAACCTCATCTCTTTTCTGAGCAATACACAACAGCACTACTTCTGGTTTTTTGGTTCCACTGATCTGTCCATGCATGTACCAACATCATCTCCTTTTAATAATGAAAACTTTATAGTATGCTTTCATCTCTGATAGAGCCATTATATTTCTATTACTCTTCTGGGGGGGCGGGTTTCCTATCTCTTGCAATTCTCCATTATGAACACTAAAATCAGTTTAATTTCAGAAAAGCAAAAGAAAAATGGGGAGGAGGAATATTTTTATTGAAATGAAACAACTTAAGAAACAGTAAACAATTACATAGTAAATTGGGACAAATCAAAATCTTTAACAAGGAGTGTGGTGGTACACACCCACATTGTAACCACTCTAAGAGGCTTAGCAAGGACAATGGCAAGTTTAAGTCCAGCCTGAGCAATCTAGCAAGATCTGTCTCAAATGAAAAATAAGACAGGGGCTAAAGATGTAACGCGGTATGAAGGTATGAAGGCTTGAGCATATGCTAAGTGAAATAAATCAGACACACAAGTTTAAATATTAAGTGGCTTCTCTTATGTGAGAAACCCAAAGTATAAAGAGCAAAGTAAAATGTAGAAAAAGGAAGCAGAGATACATCTTTCTTGAAGGGAAAAGGGATCAAGAGATTGCGGGAAAGGGCAGAGAAAGGGGATGAAAAAGTGAATTGAGATGTGTTATAGACCTATACCAACTCCCCACAGAAATGCAAACACTACGTACAGCAAACGTGTACAAAGAATACAAGAAAGGATTCAAAAGATGGGAAGAGGAGGGAAGAGTAAGGAGATGAAAAAGGAATTAAGATGTCGTTATGTACCTGTGCCAACTTCTCACAAGGAATGTAGTAAACATTGTGCACTAATAAAACATGCACTAATAAAAAAAGTTAAATCTATCCAAGAATAAAAGATGCTTTTCTAGTCTTAATATTTTTCAGCTGTATTTTGTTTTCCTCTCTATAGCCAAGAATAAAAGATGATTTTCTAGTCTTAATATTTTTCAGCTGTATTTTGTTTTCCTCTCTATAGCTTTTGCACATTTCTTAAGTTGCTCCATTTTTCATGTACATATTATTTATAACTTTGTGAAAACTACTGGTCTGTACATTAATTCTGTATCTTACTACTTTTTCGAGTAGCTTTTTCAGCTAAATTATCACATTACCTGTATATAGGTCACTCTTCCTTTGCAATTCTGATTCCCCTCACTATACCACCTGATTTTGTTCTTTCCAAGACAAATGTGAAATATAATGAAGGTAGTAGGTAGCATTACTTGTGTAACTAGCTTTGACAGAATTATTTAGTGTTTTCTTAAGCAAGATGCTAGATCTGATCTTTTTTTTTTAACAGAATCTTAAGTGGGTATTGAATTTGAAGTCTTTTCATTATTTATGGAAATCACATATCCTTAGATTAATACATTGATGATATGAACAGACTTCTAACATGGAACAGCACTGTGTTGGTCATGCCAAAACATCTTACAATATGCTAACTTAACGCTTTTGTATCAATAGTCATACATGAGATTGATTTATGGTTTATCTGTTTTAATTTGGCATCAATGTTATATTTGTTTCACAGAAACCAAAGATTTCCATCATTTTTATGTATTTTGGAAGTTTACATACCATTAGGACTGTCTGGCCTTTAGAAAGGGTAGCATTTTCCCCTAAAACCATCTGCTGTGAGTGCTTTTTAATGGGATAACTGATATTTTTTTCTGCTTAAATGAAATTTTGTTTAACCCTCCAGTCTTAGCTGGGTGAACACCAGTAACTCATTTTCAGTCCATTTATCAAATTTATACCAAGCTATACAGAATTTTGTCTAATTTCTTGCTTAGGTAAGCTTTGTGGTTTTGTTAGTTTTTGAGAACGTTTATTAATTCTAACATTTGTTTTATACCTACTTTCTGCTTTTCTCTGTAAGAATTTCTGAGAGATGATTTCATATTTCCAGTGCCTTAGGCATATTATATTGATAAATTCTGTGTGCTCTTATATCACTGAAAGTTGTTTTCTGGGAAAATTACACTATACATCAGAATTACAGAACTCAAATCAGCAATTGGGAGAAATTCACAGCTTTAAATATTATATGCAAATAAGAATTAAAACAAATATTCAACTCAAAAAAAAAAAAGAATCTATAGATAAAAGCCCCATAGTCTTGGACTAGGAGTACGAACACATAGCATGAGTGCCATAGCAGGCTGTGTGTATCATTAGAAGTTCTGAAAGATTTGCCATTACTGTGCTACACCTTTTTCAAGTCAAATGCTAACTGAGGAATGCCAACTACCATTTTCCTAAATTGCTTCCAGGATTTGGACTTCAGGATGGTGAGGCGCTACAATAATTTTTGGTTTTGTTTTTTTGGGGACAGAGTCCCATTGTGTACTTCAGACTAGCCTTGAACTCATTAGGTACTACAAGCTGCCTTGAACTCACATGCCTCCTAAGGCTCCGAAATGCTGGGGTTACAGGTCTATGGCACCATGTCTAGCAACACCAGAATAAAACTAGGTCCCATTATTCCTGATTCAAAGTCCAAGGCAACAGTCTCCTCTGGTGGCCCAGGCATTTTAACTAGAGACAGAAAAGTGATTTTGCCACACGGCTCGTTAAAACTAGTTTAATACCAGCAATCCATCATGCAGCGTGAAGGACAGCAACTGAGCTCTTGTTGGTAAATAATACCAACTGTGCCAAAAATGATCTGTACATAGACAATACACTTATGTAAAAATTAAAACATATCCAAGAGTCAATGGTTATAGTTTCAGTATTGAGTGTGAGATTTTATGCTTACCACTGGTTAGCATTGACAATAATTTATTTCCTGAAATACTGATATCTTCGATTTCAATTTATATTTGACAGACATTAAAAACTGACCAAGGAAAAATTATAACGCAAAGAAAGCACACATACGTATATATACATTACTGATGCAACTTTGTAGAGTAAAATATAAATATGCCATATTTTATACATCAAAATATTTATAATTTAATATTTCCAGTGCCTTAAGCATTCCTGTCTTATTCATCTTTCTAGTCCTATCTTAGAGAAAAGTGCTCAGCACAAATATGTGCAGTGTTTGCTGAAAAACTGGAAGTGAATGTCTTCAAAAAAAGGTAGTCACGAAGTAAATATATAAAATTTTAATGTTTTTACCCGAAACATACAAAATCTCTAGAAAAAGTCATTATCTAGCTAAAATACTCTTGCCACTTCATTATTACAAAGTTAAATCTTGAATCAAAAATCTAACTCTAAAAATAGGGTCTCAAAAATCACCTACATTATGATACCAGCACATGTAAACTGTCTTATGCCGCATCATTATCCTCATCAGCTGCTGCAGCATAGATGGCTTGATTCCTCCTCTTAATCTTCTTTCTTTGTTCAGGTTCATGTTCTTCGCTCAGCCTCTTCAATGGCACCTCAGTTAAGTCCTTTCCATCCCCCAACTCCACAGTCTCATCAACTTTCCCCTCTCTACCAGTCGGTGAATCTGGTATATCATCGGAAGATACAATCATGGAACTTGGCAAGATCCTGACATCAGAAAAGCTTGTGGAAAAGTCAGAATCTTGATAGGAAGAAGGTTCAACAGATGGGGTATTCACATCACTGTGTGCAATGCTATCTTCAGCTTCCTCTTCTTCGTCTAACATTATTTCATCTGGATTAATAGAGGACCAAGCAGAAGTGTCTGTGTTATACTCACTTGGCTCTTCCCCAGAGTCATTACTCTCCACATCATCCTGCTCTTCATATTCACCACACAAATGATGTTCTTGCTTGGCCTTCTGAAGCCTGATATTAATGTCTGTGACGCCAAGTTGAGCACAAAATTCAGTAGTCTGAGGATTGATCCTATGAACCAGCTCTACCTGCATCTGAGGCTTGCAAGGGTCATAACAAGCAGCAGTTACACTAAAGTTACACGGAACCCTAAGGTCATTATTCAACTTTTCCAGTACTTCCTTCATAGCTTCTTCTGTTGCACTATAATCCCACCTATAAAGACAAAACAACTATTATTACATTTTATCAGCCTCAAGAATAAACGAGGAAACCAACTACACACTCCAGGCACAAAAATAAAAAAGGAAGCATGCATCTAAATGCCACACAGTAGAATTACAGTTAATTTAGCAAAGGACTACCTGGAAATAAAAACTCTTAAGAAAAAAATATCATTAACTCTTATCTCAAAACAAGATCATGATTCTAATGTGTGAATTAAATCTTCACAAAATTAGTTTTTTTCACACATTTATTCATTTACAAACTTATTTGAATTCATGCTCAATAGTCCATTTCTTTCTCACTTGGGAGGAAAACTGGAATTTTTTAATTTTTTTATTGTATTCTCAATCAACCTTGAATTGTCCTGACAGTTACTCAACAATAACCCTCAAATAAAAACAAAGCTGAGCCTTCACAGCCAGTGCCTGCTAGGGCCAGAGACTGAAGCCAGCCAGTCGGACAGTCATCCCCAGGCTGTAGACCCTAAGCAATGGCTCTGCATGACTGGATGTGTCAGATCATCAGTAAGAAGTTTCCCCACTGCCACTCTGGCCCCTCCTCCTTTCTGCAGACCAAAATCCTTAAGAACACCAAAACAGAACACAAAAGATAGGAAAGACAAAATAGTACACATATCAGAGAAGGCAAGTTCTAAAGATACCTGACTTACCTTGCATGCAGGCCATTATTTTCAGGCATATTCCATAGGTTCCCAGTCACATTAATAAGATCATCAGTAGCCCTGAGAATAGTGAGCCACTCAACATCATACTCCAAGTAATCAGGAGCACTGGAGTCATGTTCTATTTCTAAAACCTACAGGAAGAAACCAATAATTTCAGGTAACACATATATACTTTAAGCATCTAAGAATTTTAATATAACTTAGTAAAAAGAATTTCAAGTTAATTTAAATAATTTCAAGTCAAGCAAATTAACTTTAAATGCATTAATATAAGCTTAAATATCTCAAAGAATTCTCAGAATACATAAATCACAAACAATACAAAGTCTCAAAGAAAAATTAAAATACTTTTTAAAAATTACTGGAAAAATAAAATCATGTTGCAAAATTACTTCATTTCCTTTTTACCTGAAGGAAGTCTCTATGTGGTAAGCATTTGTCCAAGGCTAAAAATTTGGTTGCTTTGGCTGTCTGCCCTTTTTCCATGGCCTAGGCGATATAAATCATGATTTGAGATGTTAAAACATTACAGGTAACTCATACATAGAAAAGAAACACGTGTCAAAGGAATGACTCTTACTGCTGGGCACTAAAAAGGAATGAAATACAGATTCTGCTATAGTATGAATAACTTTAAAACTAGGAAGTGACAGAAACCAAATGTAAAACACTATATATAACTCCATTTATATGACCTAGTCTAAACAGGCAAATCTAGAGATGCAAACCAGTGGCTGCATAGGGTGGAAAAAAGGACTGACTACAAACAGGTACGAAGATTCTTTTGAAAGCAGCTATGTTCTAATGCTAGGTTATTATACATGTGAGACTGAAAATTTACTGAAAATCACTGACATATATACATAAAACACACTCATTTTATGGTATGTATATTACAGTCCAATAAAGCTAGTCTTGAAATATGAGGGAGAAATCACAAACATGAAGGTCATACTAAAAGCAACACAAAGTAACTCCCTGGTGCTAGGAATGCAACACTCGCCTAACATGCACGAGGCCCTAGGTTCAATCTTTAGCACTGCAAAACGAAAAAAGTGACTCACTGAAAACAGCAGGAAAAAAAAGACAAACAAACAAGCTATGGCACATCCTACTGAGGGTGGCCAAGAATCAGTGCTGTCTGGTGAGGCTGAGGAGGGCAGAAGGCACAGAGACTGGTGAAGTGGCTGAAACAAAACATTGGCAAAAACACAGGAGGTTGAGGAACCAATAAGAAGGATCAGACACATCATTAATGCAGAGATGCACATCCTGAGACTGACAACAGAAGACAGAGTTTGGGAAAAAGTACTAAGTCAGATGCTTCAATAAAAATCTAAGCATGGCATGAGCACTAAGACCCAAGAAAGAGGACCCTATAATACAAAAGGTGACTGATATAAACAAGTGACTCGGACTTAAAATGAGTGTGATCACTGAGTAGCACGGGCCCAAAAGGAATAACCTCTGCCCTTCTCCCTGTAAAACTAGGGAGTGAAAGTAACCCTACAAAAAGGAGGGTATTCAACTACTTTCAGACAAAACTACGAAGAACATTGTTAAAGTACACTCTAATGTGCAAAAGTATTTGATCAAGTAACTTTGAGAAGCAAACACTACACATCACATTTCATTCCTGAAAAACACAGTGCCTATTACACATTAAAGACTCAGAAGCTGGGCCTGGTGGTGTATGCCTATGATCCCAGCACTCTGGAAAGCTAAGGCAAGAGGATAAAAGTTTGGAGACCAGCCTGTATAACTCAATGAGACCCTTTCTCAAAATTTAAATAAATAGACAAATAGATCAGATAGACTAGATAATCATAGCTGAGATGTAGCTGTATGAAGGCCCTGGGCTTAATCCCTAGCATAAGGAGGTAAAAAGAAAAGAAAAGAAAAAAAAAACACTCTGAAAAACACAACTCAGAAATTGTATAGATTTCAAGAAAAAAAAAAATCTCTAACTTTGTCAACTCAGTATTTGCTTTCTTTCTTTCTTTCTTTTTTTTTTTTTTTTTTTTTTTTTTTTTTTTTTTTTAAGAGTACTCAAGATCGAACCCAACACCCTTGCATAAAGCTACATTCCCAGCCACAAAAACTAGCTATGGTCCCCCAAGTGCACCATGCTCTCAACCCTTCAGTCTTTGCACAGGTTGGTTCCTCGTATTAAAATACTCTTAGAATCTATTTCTTTGTAGCACTTGAAGACTCAGCTCAGTCATCAATTCTTTTAGAAACTTTCTCTAACCTCCTCATCTCCACCCCATCGCCATCCTACCTCAATGTGGCTTAGTTGCTCCCACACCTCTTAGTCTTTGATACCAAATTTATACTGTTTTGTAACTTCTTATTCATTTCTTCCCCACACTGGGTACTGAGTTAAGCACAAGAGTTAAGTTATTTTTTTTCTCCCTCTAATTTTGTAACAGTGCCAGCAGTGCCATATTCACACCTATTTGGTTAAGTATTTGTTAAAGGAAAAAAATAAAAAGTTTTCTACCTGGTGCTGCATCAAGGCTGCAAATTTCACATGAAGGTGTGCAGAAAACCAGTAAGTAGGTTTTAGGTGCTCTAAAAGTTCTGAGGCTGCAGGACTTCCCAACGTGTTATTTTCCACTTCGTGTCGGAAAAACGATTTGGTCTTAAGAAGTTGTTTCTTATTTCCATAATGATATATGCTTCTTGGCCAATCGTGAGATAAAAATATATCTATAGGCTGCTTCAGCTTTAAAAACAGAAAAAGAATGGAAAGAAAACTCTTAAAAAGATATTAAAAATTTCTCTCCCTCTCTCTATCACCCACTAATTTCATGAGCACTTAGATATCTGGATTTCTGTGTAGTTCATTCTAACAACACTTTAAGGAAGCCATAAAAGAATTAGGCTACTTATTCACATAGGCAAAGAGAAGAACTTTTTCACTTCCTCAGAAATCACCCTACTTTCTGTTGCCAGGCAGAGCAGCAGAAACATATTTTGACTAGACGGCCAATTGGCAGGCCTGGAGCACTGGATTTCTAAACTATATAATCGCCATCAGTCTTTTCCCATTGATAAAAGAATTACTATTTTGAAGATTCAGAGGCACCAGATTTCATGAGACCTCTAAAGCAAATGATACAGTAAATCCAAAGATTTAATAAAAAAAATAGTAGAGGGATGTAGAGGAAGCTCAGTGAGAAGACTGCTTGCCTGGCATGTTCAATTCCCAGAACAAACAACAACAACAAAAAAAAAAACAGAAGAAAGGAAAAAAAAATCTAATGTATTCACATAGTACACACTAAAAACTCTCTTTTTGATACATGTACTTGAAGAGGCTGGTGTCTTCAGAGAGGTCACAAAACATATGCCACACATATCCACAGTACTTTCAAGTAATTTGAAGCAAATACTTGAAAAACTAAAACTTAAATAACCATTCAAGATCATAAAAAATGTAAGACAGATATGACTAACCCCTAAATAACCTACTGGGCAACAAGTTCAATAAAAATTCAGACTTGGGTAGTAACTCTAAACTAGAAAAGTTGTGGTTGCAAAGTGGTATCTAAATTAGATCTTTCGGGACTGGTAAGCTTTAGATAGATAAATGGGGAAACCACCCCAAGGGACCTATATGAAGAGCATATAAAGCAAAGCCCCACAAGCATCCTTCACAGTCTAAAGAGGCTAGAAGGATGGCACGAACAGCACACACACACAGGGAGGCCTTAAGCAGGTCCCTAACCTGGCTGAGCCTTGGCTTCTTATCCTTAAGAAAGTTAGAGTAAGACCTACCTCATAGGATTTGCCTGAAGATTACACAAAATACCACGTGTGAAAATTAAGGCTATCAGTCACGTAGTGGGTTCCCCCCGGAAAAAAAGAAAGAAAAGAAAAAGAAAAAAACCCCTAGTTTTTCCTACTCTCCAATTAAGCCTATGTTTCAAAACCACCTTCACAATTTTCTGGTATCTTTTATCATCTTTCACATTAGTTATTTTCATTATATAATATCATTAGGTATTTTTTAGTAAACTATTTTATTTCAATACATATTCCTTAACCTTATATTTGAAATCATGAATTAAATGTTTCACATTTTAATTCTAAACCATTAAAAAAATAAACTCAACCATTAAAAATAAAAAACTTCCTCTGTGAGCCTTCTAAAAGCAACTCAAAATCCCAAATTTTAGAAATACTGAATACTGTTTTCAGAAGTAATAAAGCACTATAATTGAAACATTTTATGATTACTTTTAAATTGTTTTGAATTTGGATGTAATGTACTTTACATACCTGTTTTAATTTATAGACTTCAATATTTCTCACATGATATATACTCCTTATTGTAGATGAATTGTAAGGAGGACATTCAAAATGACCTTAAAGAGAAATAACCTGTATTACTAATTGTCTTCCCAAAAGAGGTTCCAATTCATCCATGCCAACAGTTTAGAGTCAGAGAAGAAACAGATCTGTTATATGTCAGATATATTAAAGATTTAAATTTCAGCTGCCAATTTAATTTGTGAAATCAATACAAACCTAAGCTTTTCCTCTACCTCTAAAAATCAAGTAACAGCCAGGTGTGGTGGCACATCCGTAAACCCAGTACTTGGGAGGCAGAAGCAGGAGGATTGCCTCAAGTTTGAGGCCATCCTGGGCTATGTAAGTGAATTCAAGGCCAGCCTGAACTACATAGTGAGATTTTGCCTCAAAAAACCAAAGAAACAAAAACAAAGGAATAACTTATTCAGATACAGTGAAATGAAGCACACTGTGCTTTACTTACAATGATATGGTAGTTAAAAATGAACAGTTTAAGCTGGGCACGATGGCACACGCCTGTAATTGCGGTGCTCAGGAGGCTGAGGTGCACCCAGATTAGTGTTACATGTATCAACACGTATCCCAAAAACATTTACACAAAGTTTAAAATCAACTATACAATGCATTGATTAAAACTCTTGCATGTATAGTAATACTACAAACCAATCAAGCGAATAACAAACATCAAATTGAGACCATCAACTGACTGGCAAGGAGAAAGAAGAGAAAAATGAGGAATGGGATGAGGGGACACATAAGAAATGAACATGAATTGCATCTGTACTACTTTATTTCTTAAACATTAGAATTAAAAACACCGGGCTGGGGATTTAGCTCAGCGGCATAAGAACCTGCCTTGCAAGCAGGCGGTCATGAGTTCAATCCCCGGTACCAATAAAAAAGAAAAAGAATTAAAAACACCAAGACCTGATAAAACTAGATAGTAAAGACATGTCATATAGCATTGTCTATATTTTCATATATATAAAGTTTTATAATGAATAAAATCATTCTCAGAAGAAATCCAATGACCATGTCAAGCTAAACATGTTTATGTTTTAGAAATTATGCAAGTTCTGAAAGTTAAAAACAATTCCAAAAATAATACCTTTTCGATAGTCATGAGATTTAAAGATACCAGAAATTCCGCCAATCCTTACGCCTCGGTATTTTACTACACCAGCCAAACCTGAAAAATTATATAATTGAATAAAATCACTACAGATACAAGTGATCTTAGTATAGAATAAACCATTTAAAGGCCTGGAACTTCATGTACTCCTAAAATTATTTAACAGTAAGTGTCATGATAAGATTACTCTTTCCACATAGTTAATGTCAGACACGTACCAAGTAATATACAAGGCCAGTGAGAAGAGGCCTGGAAGCAGATCACCAAGAAAACAAGTCAGTTCTGGAAAGGATAAATGAGGTAGGGTGCTGAAAGGGAAACTAGTATGATAGGGATAGAGAGAGGGGACTGTCCTATGATGAAGTTACACATTATAAACTAAATCAACAGATGGAAAGATAAAAAGCCTGAAGTTTCTACCTTGATCACCTAACAATTTCACCCTTTCATAATACTGCAGTTCTCCAGAAGTATCAAAATCAATAATGAAAATGTTACATTTTTGAAGTCGTAACTTCATCATTGGAAAAATGATAATTTAGAAAATTAGGTATTTAGAAATTAGGTATTTACAAAATAAGGTATTAAAATGAAACTAAACCTAAAACTTTAAATCTAAATACAGATTATAGAAAATAAAGACAGTAAAGCAACATTTTAAATGACACCAAAGAAATTCAATCATATATCCAGAATGTACAAAATGCTACAGAAAGTTTTCCCAGGCCAGGGGCATAGCTCAGTAACACAGTTCTGACCTGGCTAGCATGAGGTCCTGAGTTCAAGTCCCAGTACCCCCCCCCAAAAAAAGGAAGAATACTTTTCTCACTTTCTTCAACAAATAAATGGAATCCAAAAAAAAAAAAAAGGAGGTGAGGGAAAGGCACAGAGATAGAGAAAGAGAGGCAGGCCATTATAGTTTAAATGAAAACCAAATAAAATGTGTGGCTCTTGTTTAGGTCCTATTTGACCAAACCAATTGTAAAACAAGACTGCTTTAGGCTAAGTAGAGAAATCTGAGCATGAATGAGGCAACTGGTAACAAGGATTTACTATACTGTTACTATACTGTTACTTCAGTTAGGTATAATGATACATTGTGGTACTTTAAAATTCCTATCACTTAAAAAAATATTCTCAAGTATTTACAGAGGAAGCAGTCTAATGCCTGGGATTTGCTTTAATACTCCACTCATCTCCCACAAAAAATATAGGTTGAAAACAAAGATAGCAGAATATTATTTAACAGGTACAGAGATTCATTATGCTATTCTCCGTGTAGCATTTCCTGAATTCTAGATTTAGCTGATTGGACTCCTTTGGTGTCATTTAAAATGTTGCTTTACTCTCTGCATTTCCTATAATCTGTATTTAGATTTACAAACATAAGGGGCTGGGGATTTAGCTCAGTGGCATAAGCGCCTGCCTTGCAAGCAGGCAGCCATGAGTTCGATCCCCGGTACCAATAAAAAGGAAAAAGACAAAAAAAAAAAAGATTTACAAACATAATTACGTTTAGTTTTAATACTTTATTTTTTAGATAATTTTTTAAATTATCATTTTCCAATGATGAAATTATGACTTCAATTATGTAGTGTTTTCATTACTGATTGGTGTCTTTTGAGAACTACAGTATTATGAAAGGGTGAAATTATTAGGTGTTCAATCAAAAATGAAAAGTAGAAACTGCAGGCTTTTGGTGCATAGTTAACAATTTTCATTATAAGGTTTGGGTTTTTTTAATTCTGTAAGAAAAGAATAGAAAAAAGGACTACAAATAGTGCCTAAGGCTTTTGCTGTCATACTAGCCATTGCTTAAAACATTAGGTGAAGCAACAACAGATCTTCATGATTAACTGTTTAATAATTAACCATTTCAACTAAAATTTCATGGTTATTAAAATTAATGACAATCCCCAAATACTACACATCTCAAGACACTGCAGCCCTAATACAAATCCTCTTCTCAAACCCTAAAATTACACACAAACATGTACCTAAATAGTAAATGTTCGGTGCCACCCAGCCACCATAGGGTAACTCTTGCAAGTGATTTGAGGCCTCGTGGTTTCCCCCGATGAAGATCGTGAGAACTGGAGCCTTTTTCTCTCCAGAGTAATACCTAGAACAAAGAGTAAAGTTGTTACTTAACAAATTAAGCACGGTAGAAAAGCAAAACAAAGTCCTAAGGAAAAAACTGAGCTCATCAAAAACAGTGTATAAGCTTTAGAAAAGCCTTCTAAGAGATTTCATTATCCGTCCTAGTCCTTAAGAATAAGAGTAAAACCTTGGGTTTCAAGTCAGTATTCTTCAATAAGGTCAAGAAGTTCGTCGATTTCACGGATACAACCTCCGCTTCTAGAAAAGGATGTAGCACATAGCAAGAACAGTAAAAACTCCTGGATTATTAAAATGAACCCCAGAGTCCTATCAAGTACAAGGTAGATTATATAAACCTGTCAGCTTCTTCCTCCACGTTATCACCCCTGGCCGCGATCCCTGCGGAATACAACAGACAAATGTACAGAAGAACGAAAGTGACATTTCCCAAGCGCCAGGTCCTAGAAACAGAGAACAACGAAGGGAACTAAAGGAGACAGACAGTGGCAGCACGAGATTCGAACCCACGCGAGCGCCTGTGCCCACTGCCGGCTGGTCACGCCTCGCACGGCGGGGTCCGAGGCCCAGCGGCGCCGCTCACCTGTAGAAAGTCTGCATGTGGCGGTACTTGGGCGGCACGGCCATGCAGCGCAGGTCGGCCTCGTTGCGCACCGCCTGGAAGTCGCCGCAGCACAGAAGAAGGTCCACCGGGCCTGCACCGCGCCGCTCCGCCAGCGCCAGCGTCTCGTAGATCTTGTCCAGCTCGCCATGGCAGCAGCCGGCCACCGCCACCCGCATTCTGCCGGCTCTGCCCGTCACTCCGGGCGTTCCAGGCCCAAATGCTAGGCACTCGGGACTACCCGCTGCGCTCCCGCCAACATTAACAGTGCGGCTCCCGGAGGCCGCCGCTGCAAGTAACTTCCGGTTTCAAATCTCGCGCGAGAGAGGGCGGAAGGGCACGGCCGCCGCCCGCGCCAGACACCTACGTTTCGCCCTGCATTCTGGATGATCAGGGGTACGAACGAAAGAACAGACTAAAATCCGCAGAAGCAGGAGCTCAGATCGACAGAGTTTAAACAAGTGAGCAAGAACGAGTGACTGGTTCCCAAGCGGACAGTTGCCTAAAAGTGAACAAAATTTTTTATACTTAATGGGAATTTAAAAACCATCTCCTGTGAGTTTTTAGTAGATTTTTGTTTTTTAGTAAGAGACTAAGAAGCATAGTTTGTCTAACTAGAATGCACGTTCAGTGAACTATGGCAGAAAAGTACCAAACTGATCATTGAAGGAGTGGCCAAGATAGAAACAAGAAAAATATAAACACCCCTATGTATTTTTTGAATACATAATCATAAGAATACATAATCTGCTGGGCGTGGTGGCGCCTGCCTGTAACCCCTGCACTCGGGAGGCTGAGGCAGTGATCTTGAGGCCTGCCCGGACTAGGTAAGTGAGACCCTGTCTAACCCCACCACCAAAAAAAAAAATAATAATCTAATCAAGGCAATACAGAGGATATGTCTATTTCTGCACATTTTTAAAACCTAGGTTTAAAATACTCAAAAAAAAACCAGAGACCCGACAGTTCATACAAAATCAAACAGGACATGTAAACAAAATAACAAGACAATCCAACAGTTGTCAAAGATTAAATATAAAGGCATTGTTTCTATAGGACCCTGCGGCCAATTTCTTTCAAATTTACAAGAAAGATAAATTCCTATCACTATTCCCAATTGAAGCCCCAATTCCAAAGGTGATACTTGTCACTCAACTAACTTGAGAATTCTTACACTGATTTTCTCAAATCCTGAGGGAATCAACATAAATAATACTTTTATCCCTTCCCATTCTGAATGAGAGAAACAAGAGCATTGTTTTGAGAAAGATGAGCAAACAATCTAGATACTATTAAGGATTGTTCTATGAATAGGCATCAAAGAGCAAGTTTGAAAAAAAAGCATGTATACAGAAACATGCTATAAATAACATTATCCAAATTGAGACCAAGCAAAAGGGTTACTTAAAGTTTCTTTGGCGGGTGTGGCTCAGGAACAGAGGTCATGGTTAATGTGAGCAAGGTCCCAAGGTCAGCCTAGTTACAGTTTGGATCATAACCCTCAAAGGACCACATCCAAAAGATGTGGTTGCCAAGTGGCACTCCTGAGAAGTGTCTTACTCACTTTCTCGTTGCTGGGACACAATACTCAACACCCACAACTTAAAGGAGGAGAGGTTTGTTTGGACTCAGTTTTTAGAGGTTTCAATCTGTAGTTGTCTAGCTTCAAGGCAGGAAGAGCATAGTGGAAGGATCTGGCAGAAGAAAGCTGCTCACATCATGGTGATCAGGCACCAGAGAGAAGGAGAAATAGGGAAGGAAGGTATACCCTCCCTAGTCATGTCCAGCCACATCCCACCTCCTAACAGCACATTTCGCTGTGGATTCATCAATGAATTAAATATATCCATCAATAGATACATAGATAGGAAAATTGGCCAGGCATAGTGGTACACACCTAGAGTCCCTGTCTGGGATGCTGCACAGGAGGATTACTTGAGCCTAGAAGTACAGGGTCAACTTGAGAATTAATAAAAGCAATAAAAATTCCTTCTGAGGTATAAACAAGATTCCGAATGCTGCTGTCCTCTAAAAGAAATCAGGTCACCCCCTGTTGAAATAGTTGATATTAGAGTAAGTAAAACAAATGAGCCGGAATCATCTTGTTGTGCTTAAAGAATCTGAGGATCCCAAACACATGCAGCTTGAAGGTGTTTTTACTGGCCAAGTATGGAACAATTTCAGAATCAAAATACATAATCATATTTAAGAAACTGTAGCCTATTGAACAAAGTAGGAACTACTACAAATAGTCCTTGATTTAGGACAGTTTGACAATGATTTTTTTTTTTGACTTGACAATGATGTGAAAACAATATGCATTCATCAGAAACTATATTTCATTTAATTTTATAGTTTTGGTTTTTCCAGGCTAGTGTAGTCCTATTTCAGGATGTGGGCTACAACAGCAACCTACAACTCCCAGGCAACCAGGCAATCATAAGAACAAATAAACTATACTAAGCTATGATGTTCAGTAGATGAGATATGCTAAATGTATTTTGGACTTAGCATATTTTCAAATTATGATGCGTTTATTGGGATATAACCACACCATAATTTGAGAAGCATCTGCAGTATATATTCAAAAAGATAAGTACATGACAGGAAAACAGAAGATGTCCTATTTACGTAGAAGGCTGAGTAATTAATCTAGAAGAAAGGCCAGAATTAGAAATCACCTAGACTTTTGGGGGAGTGAAGAAAGGAGCCAACTCTACAGAGGTCACACTCCTGGCCTAGGCTCCCATCTGAAAGAGGAAACCATCATGAGAGTAAACAGTGGGTGGGGACCCAGGGAACAGAGAAAAGGAGGGGTGGCAACACAGAAGAACCTTCACTACTGTGACATCCTCCCAAACATCAGGGAAACCTGCATCTTGGTGGCATCTTAATGCTAACTGACCCATGCTGACACAAGAGAAAAGCATCCACACTAGGCAGAGACAGAAGCTGAAGACCACAAAGTTGAGTGGCACCAAACTTGCTGACAAAGACCCACAGATCACTTCCGTGGAGACGGGATGGGAGAGAGACTGAACAAAGTCAACCCAAAGTGGGCACTCTCCTGTTGCTTTCCCAAAGACTGGAATGTTTAAATCAGGAGGATATGCTAACCACCACCCGCTATCTCATGCTGGGAATAAAAGGACTCTCTGCCAAGCTCTAGGACTGCTCCAGATCTAGTAGGTTAGAAGGTAAAGCTCTTGAGTCAGGGATGGTTGGTGACCTGAGCCCAAAGGAACAGAGAGGGTTAATGGGGCAGAGATCTTCTGGAGATACACAGGGCAGAAAGCCACCAGAGAAAAATATGGGAGGAGTGCAGGGTTTGTCTCATAGCAAGGGGAGTGAGAGCAATAAGTCGTTGGCAGAAGTCGATGGAGAGCCTGGGCGGCCAAGCTGTTTCACATTTGCCCCTGCCCAAATTAATTGAGATGATTAAAGCTCAAGACAGAGAAATAAGGCAGCAATTAACCCCACTGAAAGCATGGGTCATGGCCAGGAAGGGAGATGGAGGGTGGGGCGCAGGGGGTGTTCCATGGCCTGCTACTAAGTGGTCTGCAATGGGGGAAAACTGCCTTGGCTGCCTGCAAGAGGGCCACAATTACCTCAGAAGGGAACTTGTGTAGATAGTACTCTGGCCATAGTATAGCAGCCATGTGGGGGTGGGCAGGTTCTTGTTTCTGAATCTGTTCTGAATTCTCAGGGAGGGGAGGAGGTACCTCTTTTATCTTCAATTCTTGCTTCTATGTCAATAATTTTTATGTTTTTCTTTTTCAATTTTTTCCTTTATTCTGCACTCTCTCAGCCTTTATTCTCCTTTCTTTTTGTTTTTTTGACCTTGCCTCCCTATTTTATTCTCTTTGCTCTTATTGTACCTATCACCTAGCCTTCCCTTGCTTTTTTCTCATCTTTCTTTCATATAATTTATATATAGATAGATAGATAGATAGATAGATATAGATATAGATATAGATATATATCTCAACTACAAATACAAAAATTATAAGAACAGACCAGCATTTAACTTGAATGGTACCAGTCATGGTCATTTCAGGGTAACCCTTAATAGAACTGTGCCTACCGGACTCAAATAAAACTAACCACAAATATATTAACAGGTTCTGATAACCTCATAGCTTCTGTCACTTCCTCTCCCTGCACCCCTCCTCCCATTCCCACAAATATTCTCTTAAATTCCCTCAATACTAACCCCTTACTCTGACTATAAAAAACTTTAATAATGTTTGACCCCCTCATTTTTAACCTGTTAATACTTCTCTTATCTCCCTCTTCTCCTGTTAACTTATTCTCCTCTTTGCTTTCCTCCCCCCTTCCCTTTTTTCCCTACATCACAGACTCTTGAAAACTGTATATATAGGCCAGTGATAGCAAACCTTTTAGAGCTTTCAACGTTAATAAACAGCCAGCTGAGTTACATGTGCCATAGGTTTGCTATCATTAGCACAGACTATAAGGGGCAAAATTATAACAAGAAGTTTTAAAATTTATGATTAACATATGGTCTGGTCTGTTGATGCTGTTATAACCAACAAAAATTCTCTGCTTACAATATGGTGACAGGGTTCAATCTGATTAAATTGAGTAGGTTGAAATGGTAAATAGTACTGCTTGACAAATAAAGCCAAGACCACATCATTGGAAAATAGAACCTATCTAAAGAGATCGTCATGCCAATAAGAAAGTCTCTTCACACTGTTTTACTTCAAACCTCAGTATGCACACTCACACACACACACACACACACACGCACACAATGCCTCTAAAGACTCTAAACCCTCTAAAAGGATATCCAAGGGGCACTGATGGAAAGGAAATTTAAAAAAAAAACTAAGATTCATGAAATAACTAATAAGGAAGCAAGAAATTTGACAAGCTCAAGATGACACAACTCAAAAGGTGACAGAACAAACAAAGTAACCAATGTTGTTATAAAAGAAACAAATACAAAATTAGAAGAGCCAATCAAAACTGTACAAAATGTGAATGATAAATTTACCCAAGAAAGAGAGTCTATGAAAAGGTGCCAAAAAGAAACCCTGGAAACATAGAATTTTATTGAATATATAAATAAGTAGAAATGACCGACGTGAGGCTAGCATCTCACAAATCAAGGACAAAAGGGAGCTACATGGAGATATACTCAGAGAAACTTTAACAAGTTCATGATGGGGCTATAGTTTGTATGTCTCACTGCCAGATGACTCTAATTTGAGTTTCATCATCTGATGTTAAATAGCTAACCACAAGTGTTTCAAGTCACCCAATGAGACAATAATTC